ATCTAGGCTGGTTTGGATGTGATAGTGCACTAATATCTCAGGAAATGGTTAATTATTTTAGAGGTCGCTCTCTTTGTCAGTTGTCTTGCATTTGTATGGCCCATGACCACCCAACAGAGATGACCCAGACGACCCCCCAAAACCACCGAGTGACAAGACCAGTAAGAGCTTCTTCCCACGTTTACTTCAAGGAGAAATTTCTTCTAGAAGTAACTCGGGACCAAAGCACATGGAGTATTACCATTCCCTCTCTTCACCTCAGAGCATTTGTTTATGGGACTGTTTCCCTGGGAGCCCTTGGGATTCTGAGGCACATAGAGATATTTGCAGTTCTCCAGTGTAGCTGGTTAGGTAGGCTTCTGCCTTTCCTGTCTTTGCAAATTAAAACCACATTGTGGAGAAAGAAATAAAGGGAATGGAGGTTGTACATCCCTGGCATTCGGTGGCCCACGTGTGGTGGGAGGCGATCTGAGAGCTTGTCCAACTCCTATGCAAAATGGGGCAGCTTTTCAGGGGTTCTTTCCACAGCCATGTCTCAGGGACTGTTTTCAAATCACCTCAAAAGATGAATTAAATGGCCCACCGTGGGAGTGGTCTCTCAGGTGAGGTCCAGCCGTGGCCCCTCCACGGGCCTCCTGGAGTGCTGGCCAGGGTGGCGGGCGGCCAGAGCAGGCGGCTGCACCCGCCTGCAGTGTGTGTGCTGGCACGCAGCCCTGGTGCAGAGCGTTTCCAAGGAGGATGCGAGCTGACGGGGAGCCAGGGGAGCGCCTGAGAATCCTAGATAGGGGTTCCTTCCCCGTTTCCTATGTGGCTAGAACAGGTGGGAAGAATAAATCAGGGTTTCCTTAGCATGAATGGAAATTTACGGTGGTTTTCTTCTCTTTGACCTTTAAAGATCGGAGATATATTTATCTTTAGGTGGAAAGGTGCCAGCAAAGAGACACACAGTAATGACAATATACTTTTACCATAAGAAGAAACAAATAATTACATTTTCATGCCCTTTTAATATTAGAGGACTGCTCTCCTTTAGATGTGAGGCTTAATAAAATTCAAGCCCAACAAATATTTACTGAGAACTTAGTCTCTAGCCAGCTTGCGGATTAGTAAGTCACAGTCCTTGCCCTGGAGCTCACCATCGATCAGAGAAAATAAATGAATGGCAGACCGTTATGTAATACAATATGGTAAACTCTAAAATCAGGACATACAGGGGCACTCGCGCGCGCGCACACACACACATTGCTCTGAGAACAAAGGCAAAGGAGCAATCAATTTCCATTTAGGGATCAAAGTGAGCTAGTGAGGGAGCGAGGCCACCTCTAAGTTGTGCCTTAAGGACCTGCAGGGCCTCTCAGGATGGAGATGGGGAGGGGGTGGGAGGAGTGGCTGCAGCACCAGCAAGAGGGACAGAGTACAAAGAAAGAGGAAGATGAGGAGGCTGTGTTTGCATATCAGATCAACCTGTACACCCTAAACACGATTAAAAAACGACGCGTCAGCACAGTGAACAAAAGCATCAATGAGGGCACATGCAGGAAGGAACTGCCCAAGGAGGGGCAGGAAGCTGTAAAGTATGTGGTATGTTCGGGAGCCTGGGGGTGGGGGGAGAGGGGAGGCTTGAAGAGAAAAGCAACGTGATGGTGATGCTGATACTTCGCAGAGACTGGCTCCGGGAGATGCGGGGGGGTCCTAGAGAGGGTTTGGGGCCGTTCCAAAGGCAGGGAGGATGCGGATGCTGGACGTTTCTACGTGGTGCTAGGCGTGTGGTATGTTTGGGAGCCTGGGGGTGGGGGGAGAGGGGAGGCTTGAAGGGAAAAGCAACGTGATGGTGATGCTGATACATCGCAGAGACTGGCTCCGGGAGATGCGGGGGGGGTCCTGAGAAAGGGTTTGGGGCTGTTCCAAAGGCAGGAAGGATGCGGATGCTGGACGTTTCTACGTGGTGCTAGGCATGATCTGGAAATAGGACTCGGAAACCGAGAGAGGCTGGGGAGTGACACAGGGGGAGCCCTCTCTGAAGTTCCCCGGTCGGGCAGCTGATGTTAAAGGAGATGGTGCAAGGGCCAGCGCGGGTGAGGGCAAGGGGGGATTAGAACAAACCAGGGCAGGAGTTGTCTGGTGTAAGAACAGAGCTCTGGGAGTCCGTGGAGATTTGGGTGCACAGAGTCCATGACAGAGTCAGAGGCTTGGCGTTATCGGACCTGCCTGGAGCGTACTGGCTCCGAGGACCCCGGCCCCGTGGCACCTGCATCTTCTCCAGCGCAGCTTCACCCACACACCCTACTCCCTGCGAGCTGGCGTGCCGCGCAGAACCAGGGCGCCCCGTGATGGGAATCACACACATTTACGTTTCTGATGAAATCTCTGTTCCATAACAACACGTGGGTCCTCGACTGTTGATAACTTCATTTTGTTGTCACGTCAGCTATTTTCATGCGACACCAGCTATGACTGCATTCAGGGTCGGACAAAAGTAGGTTTACAGTTGTTCATATGGAAAATAATACAGTAATGAATAAACAATCATATAAGAATAAACTCCATTTTTCTCGTACTCACAGCTGTAAACCTACGCTTGCCCCACCCTGTATTATTATCAAAGGGGCAAGTGTGGGTCTGCACAGGGCACTGTTATTTGTATTTTCCTTTTCCTTATGTGACTTTTAAAAACTGAGATAGCGCCATACTTCAAAAACCAGTAATGAGAAAACAGGTAATGGAGCGCAAGGGCCTTTTCTGCCATTTTCCTAGGATGTTTTCCTCTCTATTCATATGTTCAATTGTGTGTGTGTGGGTTTGATATGCTCATCTTTCAACTCTTTAAATAAATGCCTTTTGGAATATTTTTTAAAACCTCCGCTTCTGAAAGAGGGTGCTCACCAAAGAGTAATAAAATAATAAAATTTTAAAAAAATTATATATAAAGTTATACAAAATCCATCTTAAGGTATTAAAATCAGCTTTTGCCTATTGGTCTCTATGGTGAAATTCTTATGTTTAAAGGTAAAGTGGAGTTGCTTCCCCAGCCCTGGTTGGGCTGCAAACATTCGCCAGGTCTGTCCCCGGGCCCTCGTCAGCACTGCGCATCCTCCCCCGCAGCCGGGCATGGCGACCACAGGGGCGGGTGCGTCTGCCTCAGCCGGGACTTGGGGAGGATGCGGTTGTTAGGATACGCAGGCTGGGGCCCAGATAGTCAAATAAAAAAGAATGAAACCAAAAGC